TTTTATGGCTGAGGAATATTCCATTGTATATATGTGCCACATCTTCTTTATCCATTCATCTGTCGATGGACAGTTAGGTTGTTTCCATGTCCTGGCTACCGTAAATAGTGCTGCAGTGAACATTGGGGTCCATGTCTCTTTTTGAATTACGGCTTTCTCAGGGTATATGCCCAGTAGTGGGATTGCTACCTTGTATGGTAGTTCTATTTTTAGTTTCTTAAGGAAGCTCCACACTGTTCTCCATAGTGGCTGTATCAATTTACATTCCCACCAACAGTGCAAGAGGGTTCCCTTTTCTCCACACCCTCTCCAGCATTTATTGTCTGTAGAGTTTTTGATGATGGCCATTCTGACCAATGTGAGGTGAGACCTCATTGTAGTTTTGATTTGCATTTCTCTAATAATTAATGATGTTGAGCATCCTTTCATGTGTTTGTTGGCAATCTGTATATCTTCTGTGGAGAAATGTCTATTTAGGTCTTCTGCCCATTTTTGGATTGGGTTGTGCCTTTTGTGTTGAGGTGCTCCTATGTTGGGTGCGTTGGGTGCATAAATATTTACAATTGTTGTATCTTCTTGGATCGATCCCTTGATCATTATGTAGTGTCCTTCTTTGTCTCTTGTAATAGTCTTTATTTTAAAGTCTATTTTTTCTGATATAAGAATTGGTACTCCAGCTTTCTTTTGATTTCCATTTGCATGGAATATCTTTTTCAATCCCCTCACTTTCAGTCTGTATGTGTCCCTAGGTCTGAAGTGGGTCTCTTGTAGACAGCATATATATGGGTCTTGTTTTTGTATCCATTCAGCCAGTCTATGTCTTTTGGTTGAAGCATTTAATCCATTTACAGTTAAGGTAATTCTCGGTATATATGTTCCTATTACCATTTTCTTAATTGTTTTGGGTTTGTTATTGTAAGCCTTTTCCTTCTCTTGTGTTTCCTGCCTAGAGAAGTTCCTTTAGCATTTGTTGTAAATCTGGTTTGGTGGTGCTGAATTCTCTCAGCTTTTGATTGTCTGTAAAGGTTTTTAGTTTCTCCATTGAATCTGAATGAGATCCTTGCTGGGTAGAGTAATCTTGGTTGTAGGTTCTTCCCTTTCATCACTTGAAATATGACCTGCCACACCTTTCTGGCTTGCAGAGTTTCTCCTGAAAGATCAGCTGTTAATCTTATGGGGATTCCCTTGTATGTTATTTGGTGCTTTTCCCTTGCTGCTTTTAATATTCTTTCTTTGTATTTAATTTTTGATAGTTTGATTAATATGTGTCTTGGCGTGTTTCTCCTTGGATTTATCCTGTATGGGACTCTCTGTGCTTCCTGGACTTGATTGACTATTTCCTTTCCCATATTAGGGAAGTTTTCAACTATAATCTCTTCAAATATTTTCTCAGTCCCTTCCTTTTTCTCTTCTTCTTCTGGGACCCCTATAATTCGAATGTTGGTGCGTTCAATGTTGTCCAAGAGGTCTCTGAGGCTGTCCTCAATTCTTTTCATTCTTTTTTCTTTATTCTGCTCTGCAGTAGTTATTTCCACTGTTTTATCTTCCAGGTCGCTTATGCGTTCTTCTGCCTCAGTTATTCTGCTGTTGATTCCTTCTAGAGAATTTTTAATTTCATTTATTGTGTTGTTCATCAGTTTGTTTGCTCTTTAGTTCTTCTAGGTCCCTGTTAAACGTTTCTTGTATTTTCTCCACTCTATTTCCAAGATTTTGGATCATCTTTCCTATCACTACTCTGGATTCTTTTTCAGGTAGACTGCCTATTTCCTCTTCATTTGTTTGGTCTGGTGGGTTTTTACCTTGCTCCTTCATCTGCTGTGTATTTCTCTGTCTTCTCATTTTGCTTAACATACTGTGTTTGGGGTCTCCTTTTCGCAGGCTGCTGGTTCGTAGTTCCTGTTGTTTTTGGTGTCTGCCCCCAGTGGCTAAGGTTGGTTCAGTGGGTTGTGTAGGCTTCCTGGTGGAGGAGACTAGTGCCTGTGTTCTGGTGAATGAGGCTGGATCTTGTCTTTCTGGTGGGCAGGACTGGGTCCCGTGGTGTGTTTTGGGGCGTCCGTGAACTTATTATGATTTTAGGCAGCCTCTCTGCTAATGGGTGGTGTTGTGTTCCTATCTTGCTAGTTGTTTGGCATGGGGTGTCCAGCACAGGAACTTGCTGGTCATTGAGTGGAGCTGGGTCTTAGCGTTGAGACAGAGATCTCTGGGAGAGCTCTTGCCAATTGATATTACGTGGGGCAGGGAGGCCGCCTCTGGTGGACCAACGTCCTGAAATCGGCTCTCCCACCTCAGAGGCTCAGGCCTGACAGCCAACCAGAGCACCAAGACCCTATCAGCCACACGGCTCAGAAGAAAAGGGAGAAAACAAAGAAAGTAAAACTAAAGTTATTTAAATAAAAATATTATTAAAATAAAAAAATTAAAATGTACTAAAAAAAAGAAAGAAGAGAGCAACCAAACCAATAAACAATTCTCCAGTGATAACAAGCGCTAAAAACTATACTAAAAAAAACAGACAGAAAGAACCCTAGGACAAAGGGTAAAACCAAACCTATACAGACAAAAATCACATGAAGAAGCATACACATACACACTCACAAAAAGAGAAAGAGGGGAAAAAATATATTTATATATATATTTAAAAAAAGGAAGAGAGCAACCAAATCTATAAACAAATCTACCAATGATAATAAGCTCTAAATACTAAACTAAGATAAACATAAAACCAGAAACAAATTAGATGCAGAGAGCAAACCCCAAGTCTACAATTGCTCCCAAAGTCCACCATCTCAGTTTTGGGACGATTTGTTGTCTATTCAAGTATTCCACAGATGCAGGGTACATCAAGTTGATTATGGGGATTTAATCTGCTGCTCCTGAGGCTGCATGGAGAAATTTCCCTTTCTCTTCTTTGTTCACACAGCTCCTGGGGTTCAGCTTTAGATTTGGCCCCGCCTCTGCGTGTAGGTCACCCTCTGGCGTCTGTTCTTCGCCCAGACAGGAGTGGGTTCAAGGAGCGGCTGATTCGGGGGCTCTGGCTCACTCAGGCCGGGGGGAGGGAGGGGTACGGTATGCGGGGAGAGCCTGCAGCGGCAGAGGCCTGCATGACGCTGCAGCAGCCTAGGGCGTGCCGTGTGCTCTCCCGGGAAAGTTGTCCCTGGATCATGGGACCCTGGCAGTGGCAGGCTGCCCAGGCTCCCGGGAGGGCAGGTGTGGATAGGACCTGTGCTTGCACGCAGTCTTGCTGGTGGCTGCAGCAGCGGCCTTAGCGTTTCATGCCCATCTCTGGTGTCCGCGCTGATAGCCACGTCTTGCACCTGTCTCTGGAGCTCGTTCAGGCAGTGCTCTGCCTTCTGTGGGCAAACAGGGAAGGAATCCCCCCTCCTCGCTCACCCCGAAACAATGGTCTCTTGCCTCTTAGGCAGTTCCAGACTTATTCCCGGACTCCCTCCCGGCTAGCTGTGGCACACTAGCCCCCTTCAGGCTGTGTTCACGCAGCCAACCCCAGTCCTTTCCCTGGGATCTGACCTCTGAAGCCCGAGCCTCAGCTCCCAGCCCCCGCCCGCCCCGGCGGGTGAGCAGACAAGCCTCTTGGGCTGGTGAGTGCTGGTCGGCACCGATCCTCTGTGCGGGAATCTCTCCACTTTTTGCCCTCAGCACCCCTGTGGCTGCGCTCTTCTCCATGGCTCCGAAGCTTCCCACTCACCCACCCCCCGTTTCCGCCAGTGAAGGGGCTTCCTACTGTGTGGAAACTTTTCCTCCTTCACAGCTCCCTCCCAGAGGTGCATGTCCCGTCCCTATTCTTTGTCTCTGTTTTTTCTTTTTTTCTTTTGCCCTACCCAGGTACGTGGGGAGTTTCTTGCCTTCTGGGAAGTCTGAGGTCTTCTGCCAGCGTTCAGTAGGTGTTCTGCAGGAGCTGTTCCACATGTAGATGTATTTTTGATGTATTTGTTGGGAGGAAGGTGATCTCCACGTCTTACTCCTCTGCCATCTTGAAGGTCCCCACCCATAATGATGTTTTGATACCAGCAAGCACAGTATGCTTTATTTTTAAATATCAATAGTTACAATATACTATTGTATATTATGTCTTTTAGAATTACAATATTTAAACTTATAAAGGCTTTTAGGTATCAACAACTTTAAAAGTGTGAGGGAATATGTAGTTTTTCAAAATTCTTTTAGAGGACATGCAAGCAGAAAAAGATTTGGAAGCCCACTGATTTAGACCAAAGTTTCCTCAGTGTGGTATTCAATACAGAGACATCTCTTCACATGGAAAACAAGATGATTTTACTTGGCACAATGATGGTCCACAGACTTCACTTGCCCAACGTTTACATCTTCCTGCTTCTCCTCCACCATCTGCCCTTTGCCCTGTCTTATTGTGAGACTCCTCAGCACTGACTCTGCAGCCCTCCCCTATACCTTCCCATCTCTACCTCCTACAGTGCCCCTTCCTGGTTCTTAATGCTGCCCTCGAATGGCTTCCTTCTCAGTACCCTTCTTTAACTACTGCTGCACTTTAATTCTAGCCCAGTCCTCTGCCTCCTCCAGCCTCCCCTTCTCCCTTACAGAACTCCTTCTAAGACTCTTCTCTTCTCTCAGCATTCTAGTCCTTTATGAGTCACAGCCTCAGCTCGCCTACAATCTCTCACCCCCTAGACACTGTTCCCTGGTTATACATGGAAATAGACAAACATCATGAACATGGTTCAGAAGTGACTGAATCTCAAAAACCATTGCTTTAAACATAATGCATGCGGATCTGAACAAGACGCTTGACCAGTCCCTTATTATATCCACACAGAAAAAATATAGACATGTGGTTAGATAAAAATACAGTGAGGTAGATCCATTTATCTGGAGAGATTTGGAATTAGGTCACTCTAAATGTGATGGCATATGATCAGAGCTGAAGGAGAAAAACAGGCAATAAGTGAGGAGAGTAGAGGATGAAGAGATCTCTGTGGGCTTGGCAAATCAGGGAAGCCTACCTGGAGAAGATGGGCTATGATTTGGGTGTCAGCCACTGCCCTGTTGTAGCTCTGTCTCAGCTTTCTCCAAAGGCCACCCAGATACACTGGGTTATTCCCATTCCTCAGAGCTTGCACATGCCGGTCTGGGATTTGTAGATGTCCTCCTGATACTCTTCATTGAAATACCTGGAAATGATAAACCCGCTGGTATTCAGTGACAGTCTCTGTATCAGCCAGCTATTGCTGCATAACTATTATACAATCACAAATATTTCAGTGTTCAAAATAAGCATTTATTTCTCACACACCATTAGTTTTCCTGGGGCCAAGAAGAACTAGCTTGAGTTCAGCTAGAAGGCCTTCCTTCAAGCTGTAGGTCCACTGGGATTGGTTCCTTGTAATGGGCTGGGCTCTAGTCTCTCCCACATGGGTTAATTCTTGGGCCTAGGTTGAATAAGCAGAACCCAGGGGAAGCTCTTCTCATGAACATGGCCAAAGCATGAGAGAGGGAAAATAGAAACACGTGAGGCCTCTTAAGGCTTTGGTTCAAAACTGAATTTGTGCTGCTTCTTCCCCTATTCTGTTGTCCAAAGTAAGTCTCAAGCCCAAGACCCAAATCAAGGGGTAGGGAAACCCATTTTGCCTTTTGTAAGAGAAGATGCAAAATTAAAAGGCAAAGGGCATGGATACAGGGAGGGGTGTAGAACTGGGGCTAATTAAGGCAACTTCCCACAATCTTCCATCTGCTTACTTGGGCCTGAAACTGAGCAGGACCCTGTGGGGCTCCTGGGCACAAAAGCCTTTCTGTGTCCCCCATTTCTTGTTTGTAGGAAGTAGGCTTCATTCAGCCTCCATGATCTTCTGTGAGTTCCAAAGGACAATTCAAACAGTTGCTAATCAGGCAAGGGAGGTGATGTGGAGACAAGGGAGAAGCAGTCAAAGAACAATAGTGCAGACTTGGGGCAGGTTTCTGGCTCCTCCTCAAGGGATATACATAACAATATCTTTGAGCTCTTCTGCAGAACTAAAACCCCCACTAGGGCTTCCCTGGTGGCGCAGTGGTTGAGAGTCCGCCTGCTGATGCAGGGGACATGGGTTCGTGCCCCGGTCCGGGAAGATCCCACATGCCGCGGAGCAGCTGGGCCCGTGAGCCATGGCCGCTGAGCCTGCGCGTCCGGAGCCTGTGCTCCGCAACGGGAAAGGCCACAACAGTGAGAGGCCCGCATACCGCAAAGAAAAAAAAAAAACCCACTAAATGGAAGATGTTAACTACTTGAAGAAGCATTCTTCATTTCAGAGAGAAGGTCACAGTTCAATAACCTCAAGAACCACAAAAGCCCATCGTGAGACCACCTGACGCCAGATGATCTCTAGACTGAATGAATGCAGGCCCTGCACACACCCTGATCCTTATCAGCAACCCTGCCCCTTGACTATAAGACTTCTCACAGACCCTCCCAGGTTGGGACACACAGCTTTGAGGACATTAGCACTCTGTGGCCCCCTTTGCCCAGCAAAGCTTGCTATTTTTTTCTACTTCACCCAAACTCTGTCTCCAAGGCTTAATTCAGTGCTGGTGTACAGAGGCCCATTTTCGGTATCAGACCCAAAGAGCCCACCCAATCATCTGGCCTCATTCTCCCTGGGTCTTGCCAGGACCCCAGAATTCTTGCTGTGCCTTCCCCTAAACCCCATTCCACAGCTCTTTCCATGCCAGGGAAGTTGGCTGCCAGAGACCTGACTCCATCACCAGCTCTTTCCAAGAACTATACCTTTGTTTATGATCCACTCCATCTCCCATCTAATTGAAGTCCCAGGTAATGATGCTATCTGCACTTAACACTGCATATCAGCAATTCCCATAAGTCAAAAGTCAAGCCACTTCCCTAGCCAGGATACAGTCTCCTTATTTCCTTTGTGTTGCTAAAAATCAGACCAGGGACAATTCTGTGATGGATTCTACCTTCTCTCTTCCCTCAAGAAACTCTACCATATATTCTGTTTACCCCACTTTTTTGGGTCTCAGACCCTACTGGGCCCCAGCCATCCCCAACTGGGCCCCCTCCATGCTCTAAGGCCAGTGCTGTTTTATAACGTATGTGTGTTTATAAGGTATGGTCTGTTGACACTTGGCCTCCATTCCCACCTCCTTCCATTGTGTCTTACTATACTAAGAAATCCAGAAAGCTAAATACTATATTTCTCAGACTCCCTTGCAGCCAGGCTTCTGCACATAAACAGGTTTCACCAATGGGAAAGAATACATGGGGCAGAGATCATCTTCCTGCTCTTCTGCCTTTAAGCAGAGATGTGGAGTTTCTGAAGCAGATTTCCAATGTTTAATTTGCACCTCTGGGGTGTCAAGAAGTGCATCAGTGGTGGCTTCCTGGACCCTGGATAGTGTATTCCAGCAGCAGCCTCTGACCCTCCACCTTCCTAGTTGTGACAGAGGTAGGATTTCTTGTGATACCCTGGCAATCATTCCTGTTTGTCCAGCCCTTCCAACAATATGGTAAGCCCCTTATTCTCTGAACTCAAAACCTTTCTATTTAAATACCTAAAGGGGTTTCTGTTTCTAGCACTGAACCCCAGTAGCTACAGCATGGTATCTCTCTTGGGCTTGAACTACAGTAGCACCCATATAAGTACCACAGGTTTTCCAAAAAGAATGACATTTATTGCACCCCTGTGAGCAGAGGTTTTCCAAGAAATGTTGCCCAGACAGCATTTTTTACTCAGCTGAGCCAGGAATAAAAAAAGCAAACGCCTTTAGAGCTTTAGTTAACAAAGAAGCAAGAATGCATCAGGCCTAAGGGAGCCAGCCTCAGGCTGCTCCCATCCTAACATCTTCATTTCCTTCTGCTTGGCTGCACTTTGCCATGGGGCCTCCTCAGATGCCCTTGAACTCTCCAGGCTGATGCTAGGAGACACGAGACCATTCCTGTCAGACCACATGGACAATGCCAAAGGTTAGTCACCACCCACAGATACTCCTCAGAAATTACAAGAACAGCTTCTCTGTAATAAAGACGGGGAAAGATGGGAGGGTGGAGAATGATTAATGGCCCCTTCATAGTTGATGGGAAGCAAGTGCGATCTGCATTTTGGGTGTTGATGTTTTCTCACACAACGACATTCCCACATGGTAGCAACCTGGGAGATAAAAACAACAGCCTTGTTTGGGAGAAAGAAGGGGGTCTGTGTTCTTCAGTTGCTTTGGAAGAGAGCATGCATTTCGGGAAGTGTTGCCATAGGGGGCCAAAGGCTCCCGTGGTGTTTGGCAAAGCTGGAGGCTCTGGAAAGTCCAAAGGTGATATATTTAATAGGCGGCTGGTTTTCTTTCATCTTCATAGTAAGTGTCTAATCCCAAAGGCAAGACACAGCAGGTAAGATGAGATGAAGTCTCCATCACACTTTGCAGCTGAAACTAAGAGGGGAGAAAGGCTGAAAAACAGCAGCATGGGACTCTGCTTCTGTAAGAGGAACCGAAAGAAACACAATGAAGGTGGAGCTGATGGCGAAGAAGGAAACAAAGGAATAGAAGCCACAAAGCAGGAATACACTAGCAGGATGCAGACAAGGGACCCATGTCCATGGGACACCCATGGGGAGAAAGGGAAGCACTCCAGTGAAGGGAGATGAAGATGCAGAGGGGGATGCAGGGCCACTAGGGAAGGCATTTCAAAATGTACCCTCTCCACAGCCATGCTGGCTGGAAGGCTTCTGAACATTGGGAGCCTAGTTTTAAACTATGATTTCTCTTCAAGGTGGAGGGACACAAAAGTATCTGCTTAACACCTGCCCGGCACTCAGCAAAATGCTTAGAGGTGAAAAATTAGGCAAAAGAATGTTTCGATCTTTACCCCCTGATTATAAAAGTAACACACGTCCACTGCAGAAAATACAAGAAAAAACAAATATTCCATAGTCCCACCATGAAGATATAACAGCTGCTTTGCTATTATTTTCTTCTCTGTGTGGATCTTTCTGGAAAAAATGAGACATCCAGTATATGAAGTTGTATATTCTCATTTCATCACTAAGTATTATACTGTATTTTCCCATAATACTAAATATTTTTAAAAACATACTTTTCGACTAAATTAACATTTCTTGTATATAAATCTTTTGCAATTTTCTGATTATTTTCTTAGGATAAATCCCTAAAAGCTGAATTACTATGTCAATGGGAATGTTTACCTCTAAAGCGCTTATGCTTATTGCCAATTGTTTTACAAAAAGTTTGCATCATTTCCACTCCCACCACAACGTATAAGGGTGCACTCAAACCGCTTTTTGGTTTTTCCTGTAAAAAATCACCGGTCTCAGGCAATGTGGTGCTATTTTGGAAATATGTGAAGAAACCTAAAGTTTTGGTCCTGGTTCTGCTATGTGTATTTAGAAAAGTTTAGTTCACCTTTGCATGCCTCAGTTATCTTTTTTTTTTCACATCTTTATTGGAGTATAAATGCTTTACAATGTTGTGTTAGTTTCTGCTGTACAACAAAGTGAATCAGCTATATGTATACATATATCCCCATATCTCCTCCCTCTTGCGTCTCCCTCCCACCCTCCGTATCCCACCCCTCTAGGTGGTCACAAAGCATTGAGCTGATCTCCCTGTGCTACACAGAAGCTTCCCACTAGCCATCCATTTTACATTTGGTAGTGTATATACGTCCATGCTACTCTCTCACTTCATCCCAGCTTCCCCTTCCCCGCTGTGCCCTCAAGTCCGTTCTCTACGTCTGCATCTTTATTCCTGCAATGCCACTAGGTTCATCAGTATCGCTTTTTTAAATTCCATATATATCATGCCTCAGTTATCTTTAGGAACACTTCAAGCTCCAACATTCTTTGAAATTATGTTTTCTTAACAAAGAAAGATAACAAAAAGTATCATATTTTATCCAATTAGTCCAATATGGAATATTAGTATTAAATGAATGCATATGTTACTGAAGATCTGTTAGGCATTTGTGGTTGGTAGAATTTAATACTCCTGAGAATAGTCACCAGAATAAGCTATTAAGGGAGGGCTTTGCACCTGTTTTGGTCACTGCTATATCGCCATGACAAAATGCATGCTGGGAATATACTGGGTGCTCTATAAATATACGTTTAATGCAAGAATGAATTCATGATGAAAGTTTTATTAACTAGACGTAGCCAACCAATATAGCCAA